TCTCAGTCTGGAGGACAGCTTTTGGAAAATAGTGGCTGGGATTTCCTTGTCTATGAGCTTGTTTTCTGACCGCCCAAATATGCATTGTCACAGATGGGCACATTTTTGCTAGATCAAGGAAAAGATGAATTCTGTGGCTTTGGAACAACGTTTTCTTCAGTTGCCTAACCACAGGCAGAATAAGGTCTTTTTGAGAAAGGGATACTGGACTACAGGCATCTTTCTCCCATCAGAGGATGAAATGGATCCTCAGTAAGCCTCACGGACTTGCCTCAGTCAGCCTCGCCACTTACAACTCTCCCTTTATGTTAACATGCGCTGAAATCTTATAGACTCTGTCCTCAATCTCTGAACTTGAAAATCTCTTGTAATACTATAAATTGCCCTCACTGGCTTCCTTTTCTAAGCTCTAGTGAATAATCCATGCGTTCTCAAGTTTCTGTTCTAAAAATGTTCCTCCAGGGACCTGCAGTGAAAACGAGGCGTTGTTTTATGTTGTTTGAACACTGCGTGAACCCAGTCCCTGGTTTGATTTTGGAAGCTGACCATACCCGAGTCGGTTCTCCTAGCCTACAGCTGTGCCAGATTCTCCTCTTCCCTTAATTGCCTCCAGGGCTGGGAGTGTCTGCTTGCCTGAAGGTGGGGTAAGAAGTGTGACTGGCTTACTCACCCAGGGAAGCAGTGAGCCTTGATAGAAATGGCATGGGAAGCATTCCCCCTTTAAGACCGTCAAACATGAGAAAGACTCAGCAGAATGCTGTGCATATATTAGGCACTCAGTCAGTGTTTGCTGAATGAACAGACGCATGCTGCACAAGGCTGTAGTCATGCTATTTCCAGCTCAGCCTCTCTGGTGGCAGCTTTCATCTCCAGCTACTTCTTTATTCTTCACCGGCCCTCTTGCCATCCCATTGCTGCTCTGCCTTTCTTCTCTAACCAGGAGAAAAGACAAGAGCTAGTCTGGGAATCACATTCTTAGTCAGGACGGGGCTGATGGCAATCAAAGGTCATAGATTGAGGAGGCTTCAGAACCAGCTTCTCTCTTCCTGCAGACATAGACACCTGCCTCTGCTATCCTGTCCAATACTTGGCTGGTGGGATGGTCCTAGGTGGTCGAAAGAAGTTCATAGGATGTTAACTTTTGAGGGTCCAGGTTGGGTTTCTAATGTTTTATAAACCAAGGTGTTTAATTAGCTGTGTTCACACCACGTATCTTTATTCCAGGATACTTTGGATGAGTTGCACGCTCTTGATTCAGAAATGTGAAGTGTCCTCCTCTAACTGCTTAGCATTACAGAGCATGGTTTGTGTCTGTTACCATTGTCATTTCTGGCTTTCATATGGCCACAACTATCTGTTAAGTCAGTGGAAAACAGACTGTGGTTTTTCTTAGATATTTTCTTAAACTCCTCTGGGGCAGTGTCTACTCTGGAGGCAGTTTTTCCTTTCTCCACCTTTAGGATAATTCTGAAAATCTAAGGGAAAATTGGTATCTTTTGGACTTTCTGCTAAGTAAGTGTATTTGCTGGCGAGGCTAACTGTTCAAGCAGGTCTAGAGTGAGTGATACTGCATCTTTAGTTACAGGGTGAAGTTCACCACTTTGATGTGTCTTCTTTCCCACTGTGTGTTTTTTCCTTCTAAATAGAGTGGAATCCTATCAAATGTATACTTAGTATAAACAAATACAATTATGCTTAGATAATTTTTGTTCTCTACTGCAATCAGTATGTGTTAGCCTTGGGGCACACAGAAGATGATAGAAAAGAACCTGCTATTCTCTTGGTTGGTCCCATGTGCTGCTCATGGTGTTAACTTTTCATTGCGCCAAGTATGATTCTAATATTCGTTGTACAACAGATTGTCGCTGCCACATAGTCTCTAAATAGAAGTTAGGTCCCTAGTCTCAACAAAAGCCAGGGTTACCTGTTCCACCTTTGCAGGAAAATTTGGATATGCTGGACTGAATGGAGAGACTGTGTGTCTCTGACATGGTATGTTCCTTGGGGATTTTTAAGGGTAATTTTGGTGATATGTAATTTTAGCTCTAAGTGCTTACTCCAGAATCTGCAACCTAAGATAATACACCAAGTAGTGTCTGATTTGTCTTTATGGCGACTTTTGTGATAAATAATTCACATTTTGGTAACGTTCTGATTTCTTTTAAACATTTTATATTTTATTTAAGGGCACCTGAGTGGCTCAGTGGGTTAAGCCTCTGCCTTCGGCTCAGGTCATGATCTCAGAGTCCTGGGATCGAGTCCCACATCAGGCTCTTTGCTCAGCGGGGAGCCTGCTTCCCCCTCTCTCTCTGCCTGCCTCTCTGCCTACTTGTGATCTCCCTCTCTCTGTCAAATAAATAAAAAAATAAAATCTTTAAAAAAATATTTTATTTATTTGACAGAAAGGGAGAGAGAGAGAGAGAGTCCAAGCAGGGGGAGTGGTTGGCAGAGGGAGAGAGAGAAGCAGGCTCCCCGCTCAGCAGGGAGCCTGATGAGGGGCTTGATCTCAGGACCCTGGGATCATAACAGGAGCCAAAGGCAGACACTTAATTGACTGAGCCACCCAAGTGGCCCTGCATTCTTTTTAAAATTTAAAGTGTTTTTAGGATGCCTGGATGACTCAGTTGGTTAAGCATCTGTCTATGGCTCAGGTCATGATCCCAGAGTCCTGGGATGGAGTCCCGAATCAGGCTCTCTGCTCAGTGGGGAGCCTGCTTCTCCCTCTGCCTGCTGCTCTGCCTACTTGTGCTCTCCATCTCTCTGTCATAAATAAATAAAATCTTTAAAAAAAAATTAAAGTGTTTTCTAATCCTTTTAGGTACGGAGGATATAATTTGAGCTGGTATATGTTGTCTTCTCTACCTTTGCTATATAGGGTCTATGTAACCTTTCTATTGATCTGGGACATTATGGCAATTTAGAACCATGCCTGGAGCCAAATGTTGGACACACCCCACTTTGCTTTTCTAGAGTTGATTGGTGGATGCTGTATGCCACAAGATACTAAGAGTCATAAATATAAGCTAAGATTTCTGAAAGATAAACACCAAAAACACCAACGCTCAATCCTACTGTTCTTGATAATGACCCGCATTGTTAATTGTAGATTATACATTGTTATAGAGATAGGAAATTCTGCCCTGAGTGGGAATTGGGAATGATGTTGGAATCTGAAGATGGCCTTTGTCTAAATGCAGTGAAACTCATACAAAGCCAGGCTTCCTTGTATAGCAACATTCAGCAACAGTCTAACTTGAGAAACCTTGAAGAATGATGTAAATATTTGCTCTTAAGTTTTATTTTTAAGGGATTTCAGATAGTGAAATCATACAAAATCTTCCTAAAAATTCCCTTTACACTTCTTTCTTTTTCACCAGCTTCCTGCTCATGACAACCGCATAAAGCTCTCTTTTGCTCTGCCTTGAGTACACTCACGGGTGGCTCTGTCATTCTGAGCCCTCACACACCACACACTGACCTTCTTTGGTGTATGCAGTCTTCTGGAACATGCCCTGTCTAGTGCTGGTGGTTTTTCTTGTATGTGTAAGCTACTTTTGCCCCAGAATTCTGGTGAATAAAATCTTCATATCAGTATGAAAGTTTGGCTTTTATTTACTTTCTGATATTGTCTTGAGACATACTGCTTGCTCGCACATTGATATAATACGTTCAGTCAAGTTATCTAAGACCCTGACAACCAGACCAATCTGCCTTCACTCTGTCATTAAATCAGTGGCACCATTAGAAGGGGAGCTATGTATACAATTACAGTTACAATATATAGCCAACAACAGGCCTAAAGTAATACTCCTACTTCACCTCTTGTTCTCTCCAGACCTTATAAATGTGATGGATTTAGATGTAAATGGTCTGATTAAACGTGGCAGCTCTGAATATGGTGGTAGTGGTGGTGGCTGTGGCTTTGCTTTTTAGTCTGGGTGTGACTTTCATCTCATATGATTCTTTGAGTTACTACCAGACTAGTGCGGTCTAGGAGAGAGAAAAACAACTAAGTCTACTTGGTATGTCTTTATTCTTTATACAACTTTTCTGTAAAATTTATATAAGCATCTGTATTAGTCAGGTTCTCCAGAGAAAGAGAATCAGTGGAATGTATATGTGTTTCTCTCCTCTCTCTCTAAAGATATTTATTATAAATAATTGGTTTATGCAGTTGGGAGATGGACATATTCCAAGGTCTGCAAGTTAAGTTGACAAACTGGAGACTCAGCAGAGTATACCACTGGTATTGGTCCATTCTGAAGGCTAGTGGGCTCAAGACTCAATAACAGTAAAAGCTGATGTTTTAGTTCAGGTCTGAAGGCAGGAGAAAAACTGATGTCCCAGCTTGAATATGGTCAGATAGAAGGAATTCTCTCTTACTCCACCCTTTTATTCTATTCTGGCCTTCTACTGATTGGACAAGGCCCATCCCTAGTAGAAAGGACTATCTGCTTTATTGAATCTACCAATTCAGATATTAACCTCTTCCAGAAACACCCTCACAGACACACCCAGAATAATGTTTGAGTAACTATCAGGGCACTCTGTGGCCTAGTCAAGTTGACACATGTATTTATCCATCACAGCATTCATGAAGAATGTAGGAACGTATAATTTACAATTCAATTTCCACTTATGTGTATGGCTATTACTTGATAGATGTGATCATACTTTTAGAATTCAGCTAAAGGAAAGGCATGAGAAAATTTTAATGACATCATTTATTTCCTGTGTTTTTCTCAAGGAGTTATTATTAATCTGTAGATCATTTTTCCTCTACTTCATTTAACAACTTAAGGTATATACTTCATCTTGCTGTCTCTGGCATCAGAAAAATGATGTGATAGGTCTTTATCTGTTCTATGAGAAATGACTTTTTTTTCTCTAAAGAAGGGGCTCATCTTCATGCTATAAAGTCTAAATGGTCTACCCACCTCAAAAGGAACAGTTAGGCCGGAACTTCTTCCTGAACAATAGCTTAAAGAAATCCTGTGGTTGTGCTCACTTAGGCAACACATATACTAAAATTGGAATGATACAGAGAAGATTACCATGGCCCCTGAGCAAGGATGACATGCAGGTCTGTGAAGTGTTCTACAAAAAGAAAGGGAAAAGAAAAGAAAAGAAGAGAAAAGAAAAGAAAAGAAAAAAATAAAAGGAAAAAAGAAAAGAAAAAAGAAATCCTGTGGCTTTTTTTTTTTTCATTAGTTTCAACTAACATGGGCTGTCTCAGGCCGACTCACCTCAATATGATGCCTGTTAGGTTTTGTATTAGCAGCTTTCTTCACCTGAGAATTCCACTAAGAAGGAAGTCTGTCAGCAGAGTATAGCTTGATCCAATTGGTCGTTATTTTGGCCACAGCTTGGGAAATAACCTGGGGGTTGGATGGGCCTTCTAGGTGTGAGGCTTTTTCTTGCAGAGGTGGTTTATATAAGAGGCATGGAGAGGCAGCTTCTAATTTTCTTAATGCAAACAACTGGGAGGAAAATATGGTGTAATGGTATTACTTCTGTGGTAAACCTTCTCAGAGATCTCTGACCCCATGACTGACCCAGAAGACTCAATAGAAATACTGACTTTACTTGAAGTCTGTGGACCATTTTTAAAAAGTTTTTATTTTGGAGCGCTTTGTTGGCTCAGTCGTTAAGCATCTGCCTTCTGGGCTCAAGTCATGATCCCAGGGTCCTGGGATCAAGCCCTGCATTGGTGTCCCAGCTCGGCAGGAAGCCTGCTTCTAGCCTCTCCCTCTCCCCCTGCTTGTGTTCCCTCTCTTGCAGTCTCTCTCTCTATGTCAAGTAAATAAACAAAAATCTTTTTAAAAAAAGTTTTTATTTTATTTTTAAAAAGATTTTATTTACTTGACAGAGAGAAAGAGAGAAAGAGAGAGAGAGAGAGAGAGAGATTGAGCACACAAGTGGGGGAGCGACAGGTAGAGGGAGAAGCAGGCTGCCACCTGGAGCCCTATATGAGGTTCCATCCCATGACCCTGGGCTCATGACCTGAGCCAGAGGCAGATGCTTAGCTGACTGAGTTATCCATGCATCCCTAAAATTTTTATTTTAATTCCAGTTAGTTAACATACATTCTTATATTAATTTCAAGTATGCAATAGAGTGATTCAGTGCTTCCATATAATACCCAGTGCTTATCAAAAGTGGCCTCCTCCATGGGGTTATGGACATTGGGTAGGGTACGTGCTATGGTGAGTGCTGTGAAGTGTGTAAACCTGGAGATTCACAGACCTGTACCCCTGGGGAAAAAATATATATATATGTTTATAAAAAATAAAATTAAAAAAAAAAAGTGGCCTCCTTAATCCCAGTGACCTGTTTCACCCATCCCCCGTAACCCCCTACCTCTTCTAACCATCAGTTTGTTCTCTATAATTAGAGTCTCTTTCTTGCTTTGTCTCTCTTTCTCTTTTTCCTTTTATTCAATTTTATTGGTTTTTAAATTCCTCATATGAGTGAAATCATACAGTATTTGTCTGTCTCTGATTCACTTCTTTCACTTAGCATTATACTCTCTAGCTCCATCCATGTTGTTGCGAATGGCAAGAATTTCATTCCTTTTTGGGTGACTGAGTAATATTGCATTGTATATATATACCACCTCTTTATCCATTCATCAATCAATGGATACTGGGCTGCTTCCACATCCTGGCTACTGTAAATAATGTTGTTATAAACATAGGGGTGCATATTTTCCTTTGAACTGATGTTCTTGTATTCTGTGGGTAAATACCCAGTAGTGTGATTGCTGGGTCCTAAGGTAGTTCAATGTTTAACTTTTTGAGGAACCTCCATGCTGTTTTCCAGAGTGGCTGCACCAGTTTGCAGTTTGCATTCCCACCAACAGTGCAACACACAGGGTTCCTTTTTCTCCATATCCTCACCAGTACCTATTGTTTCTTGTGTTTTTAATTTTAGCCATTCTGAAAGGTGTGAGGTGATATCTCACTTTAGTTTTGATTTGTGTTTCCCTGATGATAAATGATGATGAGCATCTTTTCATGTGTCTATTGGCCATCTGTATGTCTGTTCATGTCTTTTGCCCATTTTTTAAAAAAGATTTTATTTATTTATTTGAAAGACAGAGGTCACAAGTAGGCAGAGAGGCAGGCAGAGAGAGAGGGGGAGGCAGACTCCCTGCTGAGCACAGAGCCCGGTGCGGTGCTGGATCCCAGAACCCTGGGATCACGACCTGAGCTGAAGGCAGAGGCTTTAACTCACTGAGCCACCCAGGAGCCCCTATTTTGCCCATTTAAAAAAAAAAGATTTATTTATTTATTTGAGAGAGACAGAAAGAGAGAACACATGCAAATGGGGGGAGGGGAAGAGGGAGTAGAAAAAAAATCCTCAAGCAGACTCCCTGCTGAGAGGAGAGTCAGAGAGTGGCTCAATTCCAGGACTTTATGACCTGAGCTGAAATGAACAGTAGGATGCTTTACCAGCTGAGACACCCAGGTGCCCCTTTTGCCCATTTTTAAATTAGATTATCTCTGTTTTGGATCTTGATTTAAGTTCTTTATATATTTTGGATACTGACCCCTTACTGGATATGTCGTTTACAAATATCTTTTCCCATTCAATTGGTTACCTTTTACCTTTTAGTTTTATTGTTTTCTTTGCTGTGCAGGAGCTTTTTATTTTGTTGTAGTCCCAATCATGGTGTAGTGCAATCATTTTTCCTTTTGTTTCCCTTGCCTCAGGAGACCTATATAGAAAGAAGTTGCTACAGCTAGTGTCAAAGAAGTTACTGCCTGTGTTCTCTTCTAGGACTTTTATGGTTTCAGGTCTCACATTTAAGTCTTTAATCCATTTTGAACTTATTTTTGTGTATGCTGTAAGAAAGTGGTCCAGTTTCATTCCTTTGCATGTTGCTCTCCACTTCCCAATACCATTTGTTGAAGAGACTGTCCTTTTCCCACTGGGTATTCTTTACTGCTTTGTTGAAGATTAATTGACCATAAAATTGTGGGTTTATTTCTGGATTTTCTATTTTTTTAAAGACTTATTTATTTTAAAGAAAGAGAAAGAGAGAGCTAGTGGCGGGGTCGGGAGGGCAGAAGGAGAAGGAGACAGAGAATCTCCAGCAGACCCCCACTGCTGAGCATGGAGCCCAATGTAGCGCTCAATTTCATGACCCTGAGATCATGACCTGAGCCAAAATCAAGAATGGGAGGCTTAACTGGCTAAGCCACCCAGGCACCCCTGGATTTTCTATTCCATTCTATTGATCTACGGGTCTATTTTTGTGTCAGTACTATTACTGTTTTGATTACTACAGCTTTGTAATATAACTTGAAGTCCAGAATTTTGATGCTTCCAGCTTTGCTTTTCCTTTTCAAGATGGCTTTGGCTATTTAAGGTCTTTTTTGGTTCTATACACATTTTAGGATTGTTTGTTCTAGTTCTGTGAAAAATGCTATTGGTTTTTGTTAGGGATTGCATTAAATTAATTGATTGCTTTGGTTAATATAGACATTTTAACAATATTTGTTCTTCCAATCCATGAGCATGGAATATCTTCCCATTTCTTTGTGTCATCTTCAATTTCTTTCATCAGCATTTTACAGTTTTCAGACTACAGGTCTTTCACCTCTTAGGTTAGGTTTATTCCTATGTATCTTATTATTTTTGGTGCAATTATAGATGGGATTGCTTTCTTAATTTCTCCTTCTGCTGCTTCATTATTAGTATATAAAACGCAACAGATTTCTGCACATTAGTTTTTGTATCCTGTGACTTTATGAATTCATTAATCAGTTCTAGCAGTTTTTGGTGGTCTTTAGGGTTTTCTATACAGAATATTGTGTCATCTGTAAAGAGCGATAGTTTTACTTCTTCCTTACCAGTTTGAATGACATTTTATATATTTTTGTTGTCTGATTTTTGGCTAGGACTTCCAGTAAGATGTTGAATAAAAGCGGTGAGAGTGGTCATCCTTGTCTTGTTCCTGAACTTAGGGGAAAAGCTCTCAGTTTTTCCCTATTGAGGATGTTAGCCATGTGTTCTTCAGAGATGGCCTTTATAATGCTGAGGTACAATCTCTCTAAACCTACTTTGCTCAGGGTTTTTATCATGAATCGATGTTGTACTTTGTCACATGCTTTTTCCGTGTCTATTGAAATTATCATAAGTTCTTATTCTTTTTCTTATTGATGTAATGAATTATATTGATTGATTTGTGAATATTGAACCACCTTGCAACACAGGAATAAATCCCACTGATTGTGGTGAATGATTTTTTAAAATATACTGTTGGATTCAGTTTGCTAGTATTTTATTGAGGATTTTTGCATCTCTGTTCATCAGGGATATTGCCCTGTGGTTATCTTTTTTAGTGGGGTCTTTATCTTCTGGCCATTCTTTTTGCTGTTCTTTCTACCTTCAAATCAGACTCTGCTTGGTCACATGATGCTTCTTCCATTATGTCCCTTCCTCAGTGGTTCAGGACTGGTACACGTGTGCTATACTTGTTCCGGACCCTATATTGGACTGTCTCCTATCTCCCATTTTTCACTCCCAAAGCATTTCAGACTTGGCCTTTGTCTTTCCTTTCCAGCCCTGTGCTTGCCCTTTTGGATCAGTGATATTTTCAGCTTCTTTGACGCCCTGACTCTTCTCTAACTTTTCTTGTTTCTGTGTTTTTGAAACAGATATCTCTTCCAATCCTACTCTGGGGTCTGGGGCCTCACCCTATGCTAACCTGTCTGGGCTATGGTGGGAGGGGTAAAGGAGAGGAGCAATCTAACAAATACTGCATGAGATCCAATTTATAAAAATTTGCACTTTGCCATAGGTAACTTGAGAAATAGCAAGCTCATTTTATGGATTAAATATATATATTAAATAAATATATACAAATAAATAAACATGTATAAAATTACTTCATTCCCAAATTATTTTTCTTCCAGACTTCTGCTTGCTAACATCAGAATTTTGCCCCTTTAGGACCCTCATAGTAAATCGCTAAGGAAAATGCAAAATCTGCCCCTAATAAAACAGCCTCTAACGTGGATGGGTTGGAGGGTCAAATCAAAAGAGAAAAAAATAAGAAAGTTGAGAAATAAGAGAAATTTCTCTTTTGGTATCAGTACT